AGCCCTTACGCAGTGTCGCACCAGGCAGAGCCCGTGGGCGTGCTCCATGGGCGAGTCCGGCTGGATTCTTCGTACTGTTTCTTCTGTGCAGAGCTGGGGATGCGCATCTGGGGATGAAGATTTCGGAAGGCCGCCGGCCAGATTGCTGTAGGCTAGACAATTCTTGAAAGCTGTTGGGTTCTGGGATGCTTGTGCTTTGGCTTTGGGAAGCATGGCCATCTCCATGAAATCGGCAACTTCGGCTTCTTGTTCTCACGAAGCTGTTGCGGTCGGACAACAGATTCCGAGGACTGGGTGGAATCCTCCAGCCCCACGCCGCCCTCTCAACAACAAAGCAACACAGAAGAAGAAGAAGAAGAAGAAGAAGAAGAAGAAGAAGAAGAAGAAGAAGAAGAAGAAGAAGAGGGATGCCTCATCCGCCAGGTCCCGGTGTGTGCGCTGCCGCGCTCTGCTTGCTCCGTCGGGCTGGGACTGCTCGGGAGGCTCCATTCGAAGTGCCTTTGGGGGTTTCTTCGGTTTTCGAGGCAGAGGCCTCTGAGCTTGGAGATGTAGGGATGGCGCACATCCCTGTCCCGAAACTTATGCCCTGAACCTGAAGCTGAGCCCTTGCCCCGACCACCCAGCTCCCGAATCCAGCAACGTGGACGCCAGGTGCCCCAGATCGCGGAGAAGCTGATCCAAGTTGCATCCCGGAGCATCCGGACAGCACAGTAGGGTTGACAAGGAAGGGAAGACCGAGACTGCCATTCACAACTGACACAACACTGAGGCCAACTGGTCAACTTGTGCAGTGGCGTTGTGTATGGGCTCCCACGGCTACTTCTACTAGGACCTCTCTTCCACGCCCCAGCACCGGCATCATGTACCCCTCCAAGGCAACTGTGGGGAGAGTGTTGACATGTGTTGACTTTGGTTACATGGTGTAGCGCCTGGGGTTCGGCGCATCGTAAGACACCGTGAGGGTAGGGCTGGACCCCAAGAAGCCTTGGAAGCTTCGAGGCACGAGCTTGGTGTCTGCGCTGGCCATCATCTTGCGCCCATGCATGTGAATATCAGAGGGCCTGTTTAGCCCTGAAGGCTAAGCCCACTTCGATTTTCGACTCTGAGGTTGAAGGTCTAGGCTCGGGGGCGGCCCAAACTGGGAAGGAGCTGTCAGCCACGTTTGTGGGCTAATGGGCATGTGAGCTCATGTATCATTCTCATGAAGTCTATGGATGCAGGAGGATTGATTGTCCGGTGATGCTGCATTCTCCGTGGATTCGAAACATTCTCACGCACCAGGTACTTCAAGCTTCAGCCATCAGATGAGAAGGCAGGATCGGATCGAATCGAATAGCTGCATCGGTCGCTATCTGCGTCGTCACTGCTGACCCGTGTCCATACGGTCATGTATCATTCTGAACGCCTCGCCTCCCCTGCAACGTGGAATTCACGAAATAGCTAGTGACTACCCTACCTGGAAAAAGGAGTTTGATCAGGGTCTGCGTACGGCGCCGGAGGATACCAACATGAGGTTGAGGCTGAGGGTTTTCACTAGAGCCCGCAAAAGTCATCAAAGCTTGAGCCCTCAAGCCTCGAGAAACTCGAGAACCTTGGAACGGGAGTCCCGGCAGCACTGGCCTAAGGTGGCTGCGCATGCGCCGAAGCTCGTGGCTCTTCTCGGAGAGGCACGTGTGGCTTCATTATCTTGTGGTCAAGCTGCAAGATCTTACACCCTCGACATCCCTCAACACTTTGAGCGCTACGCCTTCTTCGGTAAGACTAGTTCTGCTAGCAACCCCCCTCGCCCCAAACCCTGAACCCCGAAGCAGGCTGAGGAAGCGCCGCAGAACCCGTCCTCGGACAGGCGCAGCTCTTGGGGCTCTTGGGACTCTTGGGACTCAGGGGCTTACAAGGTGTTGTATCGAACTCTTGAATTCGGGCAACGCTCACAAGAAACAGGATGGTTTCAGTTTAGGGTTAAGGTTGTCCTTCCTGTGCTGCCTTCAGTTGCTGCACACTGCTACCTGGACAAATGCTTTCCAGTGTTTTGTTGGGCTCGCTTTAAACTTCAAAGTTTCCCGCGCTTGGCGTCGCATGACTTCCATCTGCCGCAGCGTTTCCATGTGTCGCATCATCCGGAACAGGCAGCAACCTCCCTGTGCTAAACTGCGCCAAACTCTGAACCCTACACTCGTGCATACCGAAGGCCTTAAACCCCTTGTTCTTCAGGGCACGGGCAAGAGAGCCATCCCTCCTTCTACCGGACCAGGCGGCGCGGATGCCTTGCACTGGCCTCATGCCTGCGGAAGTCTCAGACCTCTTGCGGGATGGCCAATGTGCTGGATCTTGCGGGTTGTCCGGAAGCCAGGTGGCTGTGAAGACACGAGACAAAGCGCAAGGAGTGGTACTACAGTGCGCGATGACGTCCGTTCTCTCGAGGACAAGCCATTCCTTGTTACGGCCAAGGTCCACGGAGCTGGCCAAGAGGGCTACGGCTGTGATTCCCACCGCCCTGCTCTCACACCGTTGGGAGAAGCTTCGGACGGTTAAAAGTTAAGAGATGATAGAGATGTCTTGTCTAGCTGTATTGTTGCCCTAGACCCCGGGGCTCAGGGCGCATCCATCACGAAGACCATCTGCCTTCCCTGACGGCCCTGCAAGCACTCCTATACTCCAACTGACAGTGGGTTTGGAGGCGTTTCTGGAATACTGCGCATGCCAGCGGAGATGCAAGCATGCTCTGGAAAACCCTTGCGCCTTTGTGCCATAGCACCCCAAAGACTTGAACCCCTTCAACTTTGGACGCCACCACCCAAAGCACCCTCCATAGCCCTTAATCCCAAGTAGCCTTCTAGGCCTCAACTCAAGCGCCTGGATCCCCAAACGCCCAAAACCCTCAACTCCTAAATCCACAACAATCCCCAACACCCTCTTAAGGGAGAGCCGACCGTTCTGGCCGATCCGTGAGGTTCGCGACCTGCTGCGCAACGCTGGCACGGAGGACGTCTCGGCACCCTCCCCAGTGCACATGGGCCTTCTTGGCTGTTTGGAGATGTTTGCATTTGGATTGGGTCTTGGCGTTTTGAAGCCTCAGTCAAAGATGAATGTGAGGCTGAGGGTTTCCTAGGGTTCTGGTTTTGGTTAAAAGGTCGGTATGGCATCCTTGACCCCAGAAGACGATATTATAAGAGCCTTCCGTTGTCCATACGTACTTCAAAAGATAAGACGTAGCTTAGCTTTGTAGACCATAGTCGAGGTCTCTGCACTTCGGGTTCTGGGCGGGGTCCGCCGCTGCTCGAGCTACCACATGCAGGCGAGACGCGCTTTTTGGGTCGGGGCTGATTGGCTTCATCTGCCGGCTCAGAATTTGAGCTGCTTAGTGGGCTTCTGGGCCACGCGAAGCTACCCCACGCAGGTTGTGTCCACAAGCTCGGGCGCAGCCATTGTGGCATCGGCCTCGGGCCCCTCAGACAATCTTCTTCAAAGCCGAACTTTCAACTTTGGGAAGCTCAAGCCCTGAGACCACCAACCTCAGGTTTAGAGCTGCATGTTGTGCGCCTTGTCTAGTATGTGAGCCAGACATGATGCCCTGTAAGAGCCTGGCCCTTCACTCCCAGCCCAGCAAATTTCCCCGAGGTGGGCGCCGATGAGCGCTCGGCCACGCTGCTGACCCAGCAGGGCCGCGGACTCAAACAACAAAAGTGCATCTAGTGGTTCTAGTGGTTCTGTGACAGGACGTTTTGGGTTTAGGCCGGCGGGAGGAACATCTTGCGGCTTCGAGACTTGAGAAAGGGTTTGGGACCTTCTGGAAGGGATGCAGAGTTGTGGAGTTGCATGGCTTTTCAAAGAACGGTTCCCGGCGGAAAACGAGGTGGGCCCAGACCCAAAGCCACAAAAACGAAACGGGCCGCAAATGGCAGGCGAGACCAAGTCCCTGACCCGGCTCGCCTGGTCGGCGATCGAGGCCTCGGATTCGGCTTCGGTTCTTTAAGTTCTTTATCCTTCTTTGTTTGGTATTTCGGGTCTGTTTATGCGAAGGGCTGCGGATTGTCCTGCAGGCTCGAAAGTTTTGCTGTGGAAGGGTATCGCCCAATCAGTGCCGACGAGCTGTCGTTGACTAAATCCCGAGCAATCCCGACTGAGACGAGGAGTATCAGCGATGATCAGCGGGCATTCGGTTCCAAGCTCCCGGACCATCTCTGCACTTCATAAGGGCTTGGAGTCCTAGTCTAGTACTGTGCATCCTGACACCTCTGAAGTGAAGGCCGAAGGCCACCTGCCACCTCTCAAGCGGAGCCAAGCGGAAAGCAAGAAGCGAAGGGCCACCACGGCACTTGGCCGGTGGATTGGCAGGACGAGCAGATCCTCGCACGCCCGTCAGACTTGGGAGGGGCAAATGTTGGCTGAGTTTTCGGGCTGGTGTTTCGAGTTTAGGGCCTGAAGCTTGTGTAGATGTGTGTAGTGTGTCGAACAAGGTCGAGGAGTTGATACCAGAACCGTCTGCCTCGGGAGCACGACTCTGTAGCTACACAATTTCAAAAACTGACCGCAAACAGGCACGTGCGGAGGGCTTTGCACCTAGCAAAGTTGCCTGAATCTTACCAGAGTCGTCCACGGCTGAACTTTATTGTGCTCCCAGAAGCCCTTTTTCACCCCTCCCCGAAGAGTCCCGCAGGCCTTGCTTCGACGCGCCCTGCAACAGCGCCTGCGCGAGGCGTTTTTTTTTCTTTCCGCCGGGGTGGGCCCAGGGGCGGTGGGCCTGCGGATGTATACGACGCATATTCAGGGTTTTGCTTATTGACAATGAAGTAAGATATACAGAGGTGTGATAAAACGTGCGGGTTTGTCGTTTCGTTGCCGGCCAAAGCGATTGTCAATGTGGGCCTTCAGGCAATCCCAGACTGAAAAGAAACTCGTACTTGCACCGGATTGCTTCCAACCATGTATTCTGCGTTCGACTCGCAACTAAACATCGACTCGACCATCGAAACTACACAGCTGCCCTGAACCAGGGAGCCATGCATGCCGGCGAAGGTGGGAAGTGCCGCTGCAGTCCGGAGTAGACGCCGAATTCAGCTGAGTCTAGAGGGTTTGGTGCCCTTGCATCTATTCCAGTCCAAGATGTGGTGGCCAGGAAGGTTGGCTCCAGAGTCTGCAATGTAGTTTCGCATCACTGATCCAACAGGTGGTTTAGGGATCCATGCCTCTGGCAGCGCAGAACTTGGCTCGAGGTTTCGGCTGAGGGCCAACCCTTCTAAACTAGGCTGAAATCGTACAATCCTCAACGCCGCAAGCGATCAGGAACCGTCATCCCTCATCATTTCACACGAAAATGGTCTGTGTGTGGAAGGGGCTTGCGGAAGCAAGTGGAACAGCATCCCCCGCGGAAGATACGCGAAGCTACCTTTCGAGCTGTGGACGGTCGGCAGAAGCCATTGCTTTCGTCATCGAATAAAAGCCGCCACTCAAGCAAGATGCTTGAGTTCATCTGACTGAGCCTCAAGACCCTCTCCACATCCTGAGCCCACGCCTCAGACTCAAATCTAGCAGGGCCCGGCCCACCGCTGGAGCTCCTCCGTGCAACGGCAGCTGCCCGGGTGCCCAGCTGGGCACACTGTAGAGAAGAGAGGCCTCGACTCCTGTACATTCAAAGTTGCACCTGGAGCGTCAACCTACAAGCCCTAAAAAGTTGCGGCCACTGCGGTTTGAAACAGAGAGGCCTTGCACGGTTCCGGATGCTGGGACGCAGCGCTGCTGGCCGAGGCTGGCGCACACAACATCTTTTGTGTGTGCAGGGTTTGTGACTTCAAGCTGCGAAACCGAAAACCTCATAGCCCGACACAGATGAGCCCTCAACTGGACTTTCAAGCGTTGGAGCTTGGTGTGCTGCCGTGCTGAACTGCAGTCCAGTACTGTGTCTGTCTGTTGTGGTGGGTCTGAGCGGAGTCTATGCCCCGACTGAAACTCGAATCCCCTCGCTTTAAACCCTCAGCCGCAAAGCACGGATGCCCAAGCAGCTTTAAACGCCTCAGCCCCCACGTGGCCCCAAGCCCGTGCCCTGCGCCCCTGGCTCGTGAGAGGTGGTCCGGACGTTGGACCGGCTCGCACCCAACCAGAAGCCACCTCCCAGTACGCCCCGGGCATTCTGTTGTTTGGGCTTTTGGGGCTATTGGGGGCCTTTGGGGCTTTTGTGGTCTGTTGAAACCGTCTCGAGGACGTCCCAAAGTTGAGCCTTCCCGGCCGTTGGGCAGAACGTGAGACCTGAGAAGCCCTAAGCACCTAAGCCTAAACTGTGGACCCGAAGGGTTTTAGCAGAAGGAAGACGGAGCTGCCGCAGGGGGCAGAGACCCCACACTCATCCAAAGACATGCCGAGTAAGCCCTTTTTGAGCTTTGTAAAGTCTATCCCTCTACATTGTCATTGTCCCTAAAACCCAAACGCCTAAACTCCAGTGAGCCGCAAACCCCTTTTCTGAGTTCCTATCTAGCAGCAGGGCATTGCAGCAGTGTGAGCTGATCACTCTTGCAACGATTCCTCAAAGGAGCAGTTCTTTTCCTGAGATGTGGTGCACGCTGCGAGATCTAATGTGCGGAAGTTGCTGAAACAAGTTCCTCATCATCCAAGCATCCCCCTTACACACTGACGTTTCTCAAAACCTGAAAGCCTCGAAACATCAAACCCCTTGGCAATGGGCACCCCCCCCTTTTCCCCCCCTCCCCCCCCCGCCAAGGAGCCCACAATAGCAAGCCCGGGAGCCCTAAAGCCCTCAAAGCCCTGGGTCCTCAGCCAGAAAGCCCGGAACCCCCTGATTGCTCTGATGAACCAATATCGACGACCACACCAGCGGGCCAGGTGGTTGCTTCGTGGAGTTGGCGGAACACAGGTGTTTGCTGCTGAGGTGGGGACATGTGGGGACAGCTCCGGGCTGCTCGGGTTGGGGGTTGTTTGTGCTTGGTTGGTTCGTTCGATTCATTCCTCAAGTCCCGAAGCCGCCCAAAGCAGGCTCTCCATGGCGATGGCTGGCACAGCAAGCGCCGAAGTCGAGCCCAGGAGGATTCTCAGCATGGGTCACATGTTTGCATGTCGGGGTGGCTGTTCGCCAAGCAATTGAAACCTCAACGCCAAAGCCCTTATCCAGCCCTGAAGCCCTGAAGGCTGAATTTTCACCTTAAACTTAGAACCCTAAAGCCCTATCTTGGTGGTCGGGTTCGGGGATTTTGTCGATGTGCTTTTTGCAGGCGTTCAGGGTGCCTCGGCCCCCCAACGGCACAAACCGACAAACCGCCAGAATACCCACAAAAGCCACGAAAAAACCACACATCCTAAACCCAATAGCTTGGGTCCCCATGCTTGCACGCTGTGTTCTTGAGACGGACGTGCTTACATACTTGTACTGCCGAATTCCCAAAATCATGGCAACTTTACACAAACTTGCCTGATTCCTCTTGATCGTGTCAAGGCCAAGGCGTTCAGAGTCTTCAGCCTTCAACCGCAGCCAAAACGCCTCCACCCACCAACAGTTCGAATGCCATTGAAAGCTCAAAGCCGCATGTATTGAGGAGCCATACTCTGGCAAAGGCATCGTTGCCTCCCGTCTTCATGTCACTAAGCTTCGGGGAGTTTAGCATGAAAGCACCCCGAAGTCTTGGCCGCTGTGCACGGCTGTGGATTGGGTCTTTGTTCTGCTTCTTGGGGCAGTTCTACTCGTATCTCTACTTTTCCAGATTCTAGTTTGCTCCAGTTTGGGCTCGGTCTTTGGATGGGATGAACTAGCAGACACAGGGAGGGCACCCAGCAGCCGTTCGACGAGATAATTCCATGCTTTCCGGCTCTTCCCAAGATGTCAGATCACCGGCCCTTCATCACGATGTCAAGCTTCCAGGGTGCTCCTTTGAGTTATGCTTTCAGATTAGCCGTCTCTTCGGCCGAAGGCCATTCTAAAGAAGCCATGAGCCTCCTCAACGTACCTTCCTGGCCCCAACATCCTTACACCCCTCCTTCCACCTTTTCCACAGCGAACTCTGAAGTCATCGAAGAAGAGCTCCAAACTCCAAAAACTCGTGCTGCCAGCCGCCTCCGGCGCCGTCTTCACCTCACAGCTGGGCTCCCAAGCTTTTGAGAGGAGAGCCCTCGGCTTTCCATTGTGCCCCGAGCTTCAGGGCCCTAGACGAGCAGGCGGACCGTGCCACCTCAGAGTGTATGGACTTGAAACCTGCTGCTTGGTGTTGGCGGTCCCGGTTTAGGGGTTTCCCCGCGTATTCAGTGCCACTCTCCTTTCTGGCCTACTTACAAAGGATTGGGGTCTTGGCCTCAATCCCCGAAGCCAATCCTTGGATCCTCACCCTGCTGACTTTGATGAAACTATTACAATGTGTGCTTCGATGTAATGCTTCGGCCAGAATTTGGTGGATTCGGGATGCGAAGAGGGCAGGTGTAGGGATGAACCGGATAAAGGTTCTCCCCGAGATGGCGTGGCGCTTGGCCTGACGCAACTTTGAACTCCAAATCCTAAAGATCGTCAATCCCCCGCACCTCCCGGAATGACAAAAGTCTTGCAGTCCAGGTCCTTCATTCGTAGAGGAGGCCCTTTGACGCGCGGCTTCGGTTGTTTCAGTTGCGCTGCTGGTCAGGGCCAAGTGCCGCTCAGTTCCGGTGGATACGTGGCCAAAACCCCAGAAGTTCACACGTTCCGTTGAGGGCGAAATGCTCTTGGGCTTCGGAAGACTTCTGGTCTTGGGAGGCGGCCACCTTGCCGAACATCTTGAACCAGAGTGCCGAGCGCTGGCAGCACCCAAGAGGGATTGGCGTTTGGGTTTTGCGGGGTAATATTCAAGAGTGGATCATCTCACCTGCCCAAGCAACAAAGACTCTTGCGGTCTTGCGTTGTCCTGGAGACCGGCCTGTGCAGGGCCCTGTGCTGGAGGAACTGCATTTGAGGTAGTCAATAGGCGCAGCAGAGATGGGTCTGGCCAAGCCTCACGCACCCGTAAATCCGTAAAAGCCTGAACCCCGCAAAGTGGGCTGTGCGTCCTAAGACATCAGCTTGGCATGTGCCAGTATCTCAAGCCAAAATTCCCGCACCTACTGCATCCACTGCATTCGCCGAGGACTGGCGCGGTCGGTACAAGCTCAAGCGACACACGGACACCTGGTTCAAGGCGACGCAGATGCAAAGCAACTCCTATAAATAGTAGTTCCTCAACCCGAAACCTTTCAAATCCCACAACACTTTTGGTCAGCCCTCAACGCCATTACATAATGTTAATGGAGTATGCATACGTCCTTCCTCCTCCCGCCGACCCCCAGAAGGCCTGAAACTTTCGAGGCGAAATGGCAGATCCAGTTCAACCTCAACTTTTCCGAGACGGGGAGCTTGTATGTCACCGTACGGTGCGCCTGCTTCCTCCTTCAAAGCTGAACTGGGCATTGTGGCTTTGGGCAACTGACGGTGGATGGTTTGTGGGTTGGAACGTTGACGGCAGTGACTTCCACATTTCTCTTGGTATTCGCCGACTTCAGTTTCTACTTACAGCAATCAAGGTTCCACATCCTGGATCAACATCCTTCAGCGTTCATTGGCACATGCAATGCTGCCTGCCTTCCTCTCATTAGCTCCGTGTCACGGAAGCTGTGACCAAAGCTGCGACCATGACCCTTGGCAAGTGGTTTTGTGTGTAGAGTGTGTGAGCCCGCTTACATGATCATGTTGCTCAAGATACCTTGGCTCGTTTTCACCGGGGTTCGTGACATCATACGTCAAGTCCGAGCTGTTGGACCCTCAATCCTTCCAGCCTAAATCACCTCGAATCGTTGAAGTCCTCTCAGTGCCGTCTATGTACCATTGTGTGCTCTTTTTCGTGTAGAATATGTGTAGACTGCTGGTTCGTTGTCGAACCACAGGTGGCCAAAGTTCGGGCAGCCGGCGGTCGCGCGCCTTGGGCGCTGGTACAAGGATACAGGAGGTGGGTCACAGAAGGTCAGTGTAGGTGTGGCGGTGAGGGCTCGTGGGGGAAGAGTTTGGCTCCTCACCTGGCCACCCGCGCAGGCAGAGGCGGAATCGTGCGAACCCAAGCCGGAGACGCCGGAGTAGCCCAACAGCCATTCCAGCGAACAGCGTGAAAATAAGCCCTAAAGACTTCATCCCCACCCGCTCTCAGATGATGATCCGTGAGCCCGCCAGCCAGCCCAAAACCGAGCTCCATGCACTTAGAGAGCCCTGACAGCGTTCTCAAGAACTTTCAGAACCTCAGGAAACGGAAATCCAAGCTCCTGTAGGGGGGCTTCTTTCCACCTGAGGCCATCACCTTCGAAGCCGAGTTGCCCGAGGGACGGCGGGAAGGCGGAAGGACGCGCGATGGCCAGGCTGGACTTCTAAAACCCCTAACTCAAGTAAGCCCCGCTCCATCTGGAAAGCCTAGTCAATAAAACGCCCTTCAAACAAAGCCAGCGTGAACACCAAAGCCTAAGTCTTCAGAGGCTGAGTCCGAACCCTTAACCCTGAAAATCGAACTGGGGCAAACGTCTGAACTGATTTGCAAGCGTCTAGCCGTAGAGTTCGTAGTCTGCGGCTTCAGGCAGGGACCGCCAGAATACTATACCATGCACACATACGCATAACTATACATATATATATATATATATATTTATATATACATATACATATGTCTGTGTGTATATATATAGATATATAGATAGATAGATAGATATAGATATAAATATATATATATTTATGCTACGCCCCCCCCCCCCCCCCCCCCCCGCCATAGGCGCCCACGTTTTATCATGCGTTAGGAACGTTTGCGACGGGGTAGGTTTGGATGTGGCCGGCGCACACGGCGAACCCTCGAGCCTCCACCACCCTGCAACCTGGTTATCGGTACAAACATCAAAATCCAATCCTTTGGGTCAGTTCAAAAAGAATCAATTCTTCAAATATGCGTACATGTTCAAGTCATTTCAAGATCCATAGTCACGAATTTGATTCTAAAAGTTCATAAAATCCCATTTCCCAAGATGTCAAATCACGTCCGCAAAACACGTCCCAACCACAAGCAAAAAAGCAAAAACAAATCCAACGAAAACCCTTTCAAATCTGGATACGAAACATGAACTCTATGAAAAACAACATACAAACTTGAATAGCAACGATTGGGGCAGATATGCCAGAAATTAGTATGTAAATAGTAGTTTTCATAGTACCAGCAAAACAAAACAGAAAATCCAGAAACAGAAAAAGAAAATGATTCAACAACTGAAATGACCTGTCAGGGCAATGATGCCTTTAACCATAATAGTTGTGCTGAAGATGGTGATTTCAGGCATGGAATGACACTTGAAGAAGACGGAGCTGATGACCATTTAGTATTTAATAGACAACTCAGAGGAAGAATGTTGAAAAGGAAGAGTATGGAAAGGAAGAGAATGTCTATGTTGAAACTGAAACTATTGAAGATGTTCAAATGAAAGATTTGAATAGAACTTTTGATAGGGAAGAGGAATAGGAGGGCACTGAGGAGAAGATGGTTGATAGTGATTCTGGTACGTCAATTGTTGATGGTAGGAGGATTGAAGTGGGAAAAGGGGCTGAATAAATCCGATGATAAAGGATTTCAATACAGGCGCCCAACAGATGGGGACAGTACAGCGACACGCGGGACTGGAGCCAAAAAGATTGGGAGAATCTAGCGTTTTTGGTTCCAGTGATGCAGAAATGCTGGACAGTCTCAATCCTCCTGGGGATGGATTTGCAAAATTGCCGGACTGTTCCAATCTTTTTGGGTTTCCAGCTCCAGGGACCCTCAACAGAATTTTTTGCGAATCTTTTGGGACAGCACGGCGTTTTTACACCTCCGTCCCCAAAAGATTTTGACAGTACAGCGTTTCGGCCTCCCTCTCCTTGAGACAGTAAAGGGTTTCTGGCCTCCCAGCCCCTTCTCAAGCTTGTAGCTTATCGGCGTGAAGTTTCTAGGGGGCCACAAAGGCAAAATGGTGTGCGTATATGGGAGGGGGGGTACCATATGTATGTATATGCATAAGCACATGTATGGCATTATATTGTACGATTTGTCTCGTGTCATGCCAACCTCTGCCTTGAAGCCTTGTGAGGTCTTCTCTTGGCAGGGGCATCTCGTCTGCTCACGGGGCTGCCCGCACTTGGAGGGCACGGCAAGGAGTGCGCGGACCCAGACCTCCAATTGGGGTTCAGGATTTGAGGTTGCTTTTGGATTGCTGTTTGGGGTTTTTGCATTTTGTGTCGTGTAGAAGGGGTTTGTCCCTTCGGCCTTCCTCTTAAGCAGGTGAGGTTTTGTGGACTAGGCAGTCGTCCTGCCTGGAAAGATGATGAGAGCCTTGTCATCTTTTCGGAGGCTCGATGGTGCAGAGGCCTTGCGAAGGCATTCTTGATAGACGTGAACTGCTAGGTTTGAATTTGGGCGTTTGTTTGGGGAAGGGCATTCAGGGGTTCAGGCTCCCGCGGATTGTCTTTGTTGGACATAAGGTGGGATCCCGAGGCCCGTCGCGATTTCAGATAAGAGCGACAGGGCCAAAGACTCCAGAGAAAAGGGGTTTAGGTTTTCAGGGGTTGGGGTTTAGGGCATCGGCCCTGAGCCCTACTCGCAAGTCCACCAGGTCGAGTCAGCGACCTTTCCTACGAGTGGTGCCCACTTTTTTGGCGTTGGCTTTATACCACTTCAGAACTGCACATGGCTACAGGGGCCATGTCTAATCTTTGCCTTTTTGCGGTGCGATGACCCGGCCCGGTCGTAGGGGTGTTGCTATGGCTGTAGGGCCAACGACCAACTTACATCCTGCTCCTGCAAGGCCACAGCTGCAGAATTATTAGCTGGGGACATCGTTTCTTCCGTCATTTTTTGTTTGTTGTTTGTTGTTTGGCGGGTCGGGGGGTGGGGGGGTGGGGGGGGGGGGGGGGGGGGGCTGATTGATTTGTTGTTCAATGGAGGGGGGTTTATAGGTGAGTTCCGGAAGTTGTTTCTCAGGAAATTGTGGGCGCGTTGCAAATAGCAAGTCAACACTATGGCTGCTCTACTAAGGAAAGGTAGTTTGTGCTTGCCGGGGTCCAGGCAGCTCAGGCTAAACTTTGGACTCGCGCGCACACCCTTGGCTCAACGTTCACGGACATGCTGTGCTTTCCTCCAAGGCACCAGCTCCAGAGTCTCCAAGTCTTTAGCTGATCAACCCGCCCCCCCGCCGCCGAAACCGCGTAAACCTGCATCAACATCAATGTAAACCCAAAACCATTGCAACAAAACTTTTGTGAAAGCCCCAAACTCCAAGATCCTGGGGCCCCAAAGCCCGAATACGCAGGTACGTCGTTCCCCCGGAGCCTCTATCACTCCTCAGAGCTCCGATGCTGGACGCTGGGCGACAAACGTGTTTCTGTGGAGCGTTGAGTATAGATTTTGAGCTTTGGGGCGTGGTTCAGGGCGTGGTTCAGGGTGGGCTTACGCGTGCCAGGATTTGCTCGCAAAGACCCTCACTTTTCAGAGCCTGGATCGGCCTGTCATGAAGCCAAACGCTGCAACACCTAAGTTCTTTCACGCCTTTGCACAAGCTCGCCCATTTGGATTCGTCTGCATGCCCCTGCCTGCCCAATTGGGTGCCACGAGTTAATTTGCTCGTCCGACTTGTTGATGAAGCAAGTGTCCATGGGCGGTACATCCTGCAAAGTGAGCGCAGGGGTACTGCACTTGGGGTCCTGTGGAACCCACCTTCATTCGGGAAATTGGCCATGACCCATCAATCATCGGAGAGTGCCATGTGGGCGATTTTGGCCGTGGGGGTGAAAAGGGTTTGTTAGGCTGCCTTGCGTTCCCGGGGGACCCGCCCACTCGGACCTCTTGCTCTTGTGGCCAGTCTCGCGACGTCACATCGTGAGGTGAGACTTCGCACGCCCTATGTGGTATCGGACCAGTTCCACGGCTTCGGTGTCGCCACTCAGCGTGCTGAGTCCTCGACAGATCTCCGGCGCATCGGCATCTTCATGTTCCTCGGATGGTGCTCGCGTCGTGACCGAAATCTAACTCCCTTTGCAACGCACTTTGCATGCCTAGATCTTCCAAAACAGGTTCACAAAGGACCCTAAACCCTAAACCCGAAACCCCAACCCCAAAACCCCAGCCATGTAAAGCATGACACTCCAAACCCAGAAGCCGAAACCCACACACAGTAAGTTCCTACACGCTGAAAGTCCAAGCAAGACATGCCCCGAAGTCCCCGTCTGGTCAGGACCTTTTCGGGGAGCCGGATGAAACTTTGCAAGGGCCCAAGGGACATTGCTTGGGGTTTAGAGTTGAGAGTCTGTATATGTTGCATAGAGGGTGGGGCTCATGGCTCTGGCGTCGAAAGGGTTGGGGGCTACTGTAGGCTTTTTGCTCGAATTCTTGGGTTCTTTGCTGCCTTGGGCTTCCATTTACAACGTTGTTGGTTTGCTTGCTTTTTGTTGTTCCTGGTCTATAATGAAACCAAGGCCCCAACACTAGACCTGAAACCCGATACTCTGAAGGGCGTAGCACGAATCCCTGAGGCAAAAACTCGGAAGACAGCAATTCTGAACCATTCTGAACCCCAAACTCTAAATCCTAAGCCAAGCTGCCCTTGGCCTTAGCCTAAGCCCCAACTCCTTTTTCATCCTAACTCCAGGATGCGCCCGTACAGCCTTCTGAGCTTCAACAGCACTCCTGACCTGTGGCTGAGGGCTTCAGGGCTTCATGAAGTGCCTCCGAATTCTTAAGGTAAGCCAGAGCCGCTACGCCAAAGAGAAGCCAACACCTCAGTGCAACCCCCCTGAGCCTGCGCAATGCCCCAAGTCCCTCAACCGCAAGACGCGCGTACTGAGCGAACGCCCACGAGTTCCTCCTTGCCAGTTGGCTTCTCGGGGCCGAAGATGGAGCATTTCGCCCACGCCCTGAGGCTCCTTCCGCCCCTCAACTTGAAATATTAAACAACTTAAACCCTTCGCCCTGATCAAAAAGCAAGCTCATCGGCAGCTTCGCGTTAGCTGCAAATGCATGCGCGTCGACCTTGACTCGGCCCGAAGATGCAGCAAGCCCGTTGAAGGTTGTCTGTTGGGAGTCCGGAATGGAGAGTTTAGGGGAAATCCGCTGGTTTTGTCGTGTCTTTCTACTCGGAGGCCCTCTTGGGGCCAAGCGTTAAGAGTGAATGGACTCGGAGGTCCTGGGGTGGGGGTCTGTTAAATCTCTTAACGACGGGGGGTTCAGGTTGGAGTGGAGAGTTGGGCCAGGTCTGTGATGGGGGGCCTTCGGGTGCTTCAGGGTGTATCAGAGACGGGAGCCAGCACTTGAGTTTGCTGTCTCAGAAGAAGTTCTGGTTGAGTTTGCCTCGGGTTTCGGATTTTCACGCCGAAAGGCCTCAGCTCCTTCTATGCACGTCTGTAGCAGGCTGACGCCGGTCGAAGGCGATGGTGCCTTTGCTGAGTTCGTGCGTCTGCTGCAGGGTATGGGTTTCGTGGTGGCTTCGGGTTTATATCTTCTGGACGGCGCAGATTTTGGAGAAGCCTGTTTTGAATTTGGAAGGGGGGGGGGCTCTGCAAAACCCAATGTCCCAACTTCAAACCTGCCCATGGCCACAGTTACCCCCAAAGGCCAGAAAGGAAGAGGAAATAGAAATCAAAGAGGCCTTTAGCACCCACACCCAGCAACTCCATGAGAAGCCCCACCTAAACCCTAGGCCCTATATATATATATCCATACAGAATCCGAACGAAGGAGGCCCACAAGCACCGAAGCTCGTGCAGGCAAGGAGCCAGCCACGCCGCTGGAGCTGGCGGCGGTGGGGAGCTGAAGTTCGGAGTTTCGTGCCACCAGGAATGTGCGGTTTCAGGGATTTCCACGTCCTTGACAAATTTGGATGCTAAATGGCGCTGTAGGGGTTGTGATTTTTAGGGTTCCAAGGGAGCATCCTTGACAGAATACGGAGCATGCCTCCCAGTAGCCTCAATGTGCCAGAAGTCCGGATGTACTGCCAGTTAAGAGTCATGCAACCCGACCGGTCTCTGAGGCTGCCGTTGCCAACAGGCCGAGAGACACCAGCAATGCCAGGTGATGTCATAGCTCTACGGGGATCAATTTCTCAAGTTCCCTTGAACTGTCTCAGTACGATGGTTTAGGGAAACACCCAGCTGCTTGGTCAAATTGCTTTGGCACGTGATGTTAGTCCTGTTTCGACCTGGTGTTCTGGGCACCCCGGCTCGCATTTCTGTGCCTCTTTCGGGTTGCCTCGGGAACCTGCAAGAGGTCACCGAGTCCTGGCTAAATCCAAGGCCCGGGAGATTTTAGGGGCCTTGGTCAGGCATCAGTACAGCTACGTCCATGGCCCGCCCAGCGTGGGCAAAGCACCTTTGCTGCAGAGAAATTTGTTTTTCAGTGTTTCGGTAGTCCTAGTGTTCTGGGCCAGGGTGTCCTCGACACTCAAGCGCGGGTGTGGAAGTCTCGTATTTTGGGATTCTTGAGTTGAAGGCGCTGCATCTGTGAATGGTGCAGCGCGAGATTTCCTCCACGTCAACACTTACCGAGCAGAAGTGAAGTGCGTGGGAAAGACCACATGCTCCGGAAACGTGCAACTCATCACCTCAAAGTTCTCAGCACTGAATTCCAACCCGAAACCCTGGCGCAGGCATCGAGGCAAGGTGTGGAGGAAGAGGCGTGCGCGCTAAGCGGGCTCAGGATACATCATTCGCCCTGAGGGTTCGGTTAGTAGGGGAAGTTTGGGAGTTTAGGGGTCAAGTTCGCAGCCTTCTAATTAAAAACCTGCAACCCTCAATCCTCAATCAACTCGCAGACGGCCCTTCTACCGCCCTACATAGCTCATAAAGCCCGGACTCCGGGCTCGTGTAGTCGTCTCCGGTCGCGTCGGTCGTCGTCCGCCATGAGGGTCTCACAGCATCATGTGTTGCTGTAAACATGTTGATGCGAAGCGTCCTTTATCCTCAATCGCACCATCATCCCCTGTGAGAATAGGTGTGCCCTGCGGCCTTGCACCCCCGGCCCCGAATGGATGTCAAGTCCCCGGCTTTTGTCAGACCTTTGGCCTGTGCCAAACAGCCGAGCGTCATGAAGGCTGGTATGTCGAGTGCGCGAAGCAGGGCTCTGGACTAGCAATTTTCTCAGCACTGGTATCCTTGAAGGGTCTCCTCGCTTCGGGATTGAGGAGCTGTAACTGTAAGGCTTCGGAATTGTCTCATTGCCTGTCGGAGCCGGAAATCGAGCTTAGGATGCTAACCATGATGGCTCAAGCTCATCGGCCAGGGGACGCCGACAGCGGCCAGGGGCGCGGCCCTCAAGAATAGGAGTCTTGTGGACATGAATAGTTTGGAGAGTTTGATGACCTTGTTTGCAGCTGTGAGGGCACTGTAGCTGGCATGTGAACTTAAACCTAGAGGGCTTCAACAAACGGTGGCCCAATGGCTATGTCAGCAGCCCTATGCTGAACTTGGAGTCTCAAGGCAGGGAATTAACCTGACAAGCCGATGGACTTCTCAGCCAAGTTAACAGCAGGTCGAGCCTGGGAAGCCCCGAAGGGTTTGCGTGGCTGTAAGTGCAGCCCCTTGAAGCAGACCAAGGTGCAGCGCAGCTCAAGGCCAGTTGAGACTTGGGTCTTGAAGGATTTTAAGGATCTTTGGGGTTCTTCCCGCTTGATCTGCAGTATGGTTGTAAGGCTCAGTCATCCCAAAGCCTTGCTGCGACGAATGCGACGACAACAGCGTCAGCCCTAAGCAGCCCTAAGCAGCCATACAGAGATACAGAGCAGTGTGCAAGGGGCTTCTTTGTCTCAGCTGTCCTTACCGAAGCCTCGCAGAACCGTGATGCTGGAGGCGTAGTGGTGCTTAAGAACATGTGCTTCTGTAAGGATGTGGCGTCAAAACTCCCGATGAGCCCCGTAAGGCTCGCAAACTTCAATTAAAGCAAGCTTCGTCCTCCGGCCTTGGAGCTCCCTCCGGGTTTTCAGAGCAGGCTGGGAATCACTGGCGGCAAGCCTGGCACCCTGGGATGCCATGTCTTCATACGGAAGCTTCCCAGCACTCAACTTCACTTACGCTTATCACCCTGACCGCTCCAAAATCGTAGAGACCCTGGACGAAAACTGAATCACCTTTAGCCCCCTAATTTTGCGAAGCCACAACCCCCCTTACTAAGATTGAGTTTTAAAGTTTCGCCTGGTCAACTAGAGAGCTGGTGATTAAGGGTTTGCGTCCAGGTTTTCGTTTGACTGTCACCCTTACAGACTTTGGCCTTGAGGAGGCCTAGTGAAGGATTCAGGCTTATTGAGACTTAGGGCTAGGTTTGAGGCATTTAAGGAAAGAGGGTTGAGGGTTGTGTTCGGCTTGGGCTTCAGGGTACGGCAAGGCCAAGCGCGCTGGTGTTCGACGAACGAGGTGCCGACGGCGGCTCTTGGCGTGAGCTTTGCATACGCTGTAGGTCGAATGCTTGGTGCAGCTGCGCTCCCTCTTGACTTGAAACAAACCCGACATTTCCCCAAAACCAATGCAACTTCTAGGCTAACCTCGCTCTTGAAAGCCGGGCTAGGCCTTGAAGCCGTTTGGGTTTTTACGGGTGCGCTTCAGGAAGCCTCAAGGGCATGGAGGGGCTCAAAACAGGAATATCCGGGCTTTGGCTTGGTCCACTTGGTTAGGTGCCTCTGGTGTAGTGCAGTCTTGAAGCCAGGTCCTGAGCTTGATTGGCGGAGAGCAGGACCCAGATCCAGAAGATATGGAAAAATGCCGCAAGAGCCCCAAAACCCTCTCACGCCCAGAAGGCGGTACGTTTGTATCATGAATCGTTTCGGCAGCTCTCAAACAGGCGGCCTTGGAGATGTCGATTGGTCCATAGTGCCTGGGCAATTGCTGAACGTGATGTAAGAAGCCCAGGGCTTTCGGCTCCAGAGGCTCTGAGGCTCGAAGGTCTGGCTGTGTGAGCCTTTCTCTAAGGGCTTTAAACGGGCTTTGACTGCCTTGAGATGTCGAAGTGTTTTTGAAGGACCTCGCGGAAGGCAGCGGTGATGAGGCGTGTGGCCCTGTGCCTGAGAGGTGGCGGAGTTTTTGGAAGTCGGCATGAGGTCCTGAGGTGCAGGCCTGTCGGGCCTAGCAGCCTAGCAGCTGCTTATGCACTTATGTCAAACTCGAGCCCGTGCTTATATTGGCTTGTATTGTGTGGCTGCAGCTGTAGAATTTAATTGCAGCACATGGTGCGTTTTCTTGGAGATTCAGGCTAGACCTGGCTCAAAAGAGCATCTTCGGATAAGATTGCGAAGACTACGGTATGAAGATCCTGAGTTTTGTCTGTCTGCAACATTCAAGGTGTAGTGACTCAGGGTCCAGGGTCTTGCTGATGAGTAAGGCCTGGCACAGGCTCCTGCTTCTGGAAAAGCCCCCTCCGCCAAGTCTGGCGATAGGTCTACCCTTCGAAACCTCGAAGAAATACAACCCAGAGATCCAGAAAAGCCCTAAACACCCGCAAAGCCTCTGAAAAGACGTGGCCTTCATGGATAGGTGCAGATGGCTGAGCCTGCGCCGGGATCCGTAGAGCGATCTCCAACAGCCAGGCCGAAGTTCGTGCTCGCCTTCGCCGAGTGGCTGAAATTCCGGGGATTTGAAATTGAGGGTTTTTAAGTTATCTTCTTCCGGGTTTATTCAGACCTTATATTAAAGTCTCGAAGTTAGGGGGGTTTAGGGTCTTGAGGCAGTGCAGAGGCTTTCGTGCGTTTTTGGTGAGAGTGTTCGTGCTTCAGATCTTGTGGTGTTGTGATCACGCTGTTTTGAGCGAGATGCTCTGGGCTCTGGGCTGTAGTTTTTCAAAGTGCCTTCCAGAGTTTGGTACAGGCTACGCTACATCTTGTACCTAGAGTGTTGGGCATCTTCGCGCCCTGAGACTTGGGGGCCTGGGGGGCTCCAGGCTCCAGGTTTCGGGCGCAGGAGCTTTTCCTGCCTCTCAGTATAACTTAGAAGGCAAAGTGGGCACTGAAAGCCGGAGGACGGGGGCTGCCGTCAGCGGCGACACCACGGAGCGTGGCCTCCTTTGGGCTTCCATGTTGGGAGGGTTCAGGGAGGGTTCAGGGTTCAATGGGGAGCTCAAGGGAGTTAAGGAGTATCTGCGAATGGTTGTGGTGTGTCACTCAAGATGCTTGCTGAGAGTGGCGGTTGAGGATTCAATCTGGGAACCTTCTCCTCAGAGCCCAAATCGTCAGCCCCGTTAGTTCCATGATGGCTCACAGAACATGTTTGTGGGTAGAAGCTCCCGGCTGTAGAGCGTTGGTGGTCTTAGAGAGGTCTGGCGTGCTTCTGGTGTCGTTTTTTGGGTTTGCCGTTGAAATGTCTTGTTTTCTGTACTTTGCAGTGGGGGTTGTCTATTGAACCGTCCAGAAGAACATTCGACAGATAAGGGACCTGCAACCTTCTGCAGTGGCTACACACGCCTGTGAGCGCATCATCCAGCACAATACTGTCATAGCACTAGAGCTCCATGTAGTCTCTCTGGTCAGATGTTGCGCAGTCCTGGTCCATACATCCCAAATCCCAAAGACCCCACACCCCAGAACCCTAACACCGCCCCCGCCCCCGCGCGTTGCCCAAAAGAAAAAAGACCTTAAACCCGAACGCCCTGGATGGTCAGCCCCCACCTTCAAGGCAGCATGCGGTCCAGGGTGACGGAGTCGCCAGGCACCTCGGGAGAGCGGACGCTGAAGCAAGAGTTGAGAGGTTCAAGGCTGAAAGTTGAAAAGGTCAAATCTTCACAGCTTCGGGGAGGAGTCTTTCTATAAAATAAATCCCAACAACATTTTGCTCTTCAGGTGCTCGTAGCACCCGCTCCTTTCCACTGCTCATCCCGCCGCCGCTGCGGCGGGCAAGCGCGCGCGGAGGCTGCGGCAAAGTTCCTGACAAAGCAGGGGGGGGGGTTTGGATTCCAGTCTTTGAGGCGCTGGCCTTCGAGCGCATGTACAGGTTGTCCAGCCAGCATGTGTCATGTACCTAGAAAAACTGAAGCCCCAAAATATCTTATAAGCTTTCTCGAAACCCTTTGATTTGCCTGTCTATTTGTTGCTGCCACTAGACAGGGCGACATGGAGCTTAAACTTGTACAGAGGCTCCAAGACCCCCTGAACTTCAAGGTGTCCACTTTGGAGACAGCGGCTAGCGAAGGCCAAGATGATCAACATCCTAAACGCTTCGTCAGTCTGTGAGTTTGATGCCCTCCATCTCCGCACCATTCAGCCGACAGGAGAGCGCCCGCCTTGCTCCATCCGGGCGAATCCGCCCTTGGGCCGCTGGGGGCTCGGAGCCAGTTCTCAACGCTTCGGAGGAAAGTCGGGGTTTCTAGAAGGGGGTGCCAGCAGTGGCGCGCGCGTTGTGCAAGCAGATGTCACGGGCACAGGCCTCTGTGGGAGTTGCACCCGAGGTCCTGTTATTACAAGGGCTTCTGTCACCACAAGTCTCTAAAGCACTGTTGATCACTATTGCCTGATGTTGTGCCCTCTTTAGTGTGTGCCCCCCCCTCCCCCCCTCCCCCCCCCCAGAACAGTTGAAGGTGGTCTTCGCCCCGTTTAAGCGGTCACGGTTTTTAACGGTTTTAAAAGGGAGGAGTTCTGAGTTTAGAAGGGACAGCGATATGCTGGGGGTTCTTCTTGGTGGACACACCGTAAATGATAGTTCTTGGAAGAGGCCTTCATGCTGGCAGCCTTCATGGGGCTGTAATTTGCTTACTTGGCCTTGGGCGGACAACATGAATGACGGTACAATAGAAGGCCCAACTGAGGTTTAAGGGTTTAGGGGTCTAGTGTTCTCCATGAGCAGAGGTGTTCAAAGCGGTGGTTCAGTTTTCAAGCCACAAAGCAGTTCGAAGCCGCCCTGCTCCGAGGCGATGCACAGAAGAACGAGGCCCCGATATGAGTTTCGCTGCTCTTGGAGTGGCCCTCTCGCAAGAGCAAAGCAGGGCTACGGGTTTTCGAGTAGACAAGCTCCAGAAACGAGGTGTTCAGGCGGTTGGAGGAGTTGGGAGCATCGGGTTGGCAACTTCGGGGAGTCGCAGTTTAGGTTGTAGGCTTGTCTTCATCACCTTATCTGCTTCAGAATCCTATGAAGCACGGCGAAGAGCGGCGGAAGGAGACGAAGAAGTGATCCTCGGCTTTTTGCCTCTCCTCAGGAGTCGGCGCGCCAGCTCCGTCTCCAGGCGCTGTCGGCTGCCCTGGACGGGGAGGACGTGGGCCGGGAGTGTGGCGGAGGGACTCCCCAACTTCTTCATATATAGGTTCACATGGCTTCACGTACCCTGCAGCATAAGTCCGAGCGCTTGAAGCCTACGCCGCCTAATTCCCATTCAATCCAGTGAGGAGCGGCAGCTGCGCTACGCCATCCTCATGCGCATCCTGGAGGTCCGTGTTTTGATCTCTGCAAGTCTTTTTGGCGACCTGTTTCTTTGCATGGAAAAGCCGAGTGCGTCTGGCCTCCAGGACCTGCTTGCGCCAGAGCCTTACAGCAAGCTCCGCAGCAGTGGTACGTGACAGTTGGCTGAGTTCCCGCGCGTTTCAAGAAGACTGTTGTGCGTGTTGTCGGGATCTTGGTGGGGCTTGAAGGCGTTGAAATCCTTCAGTTAGGGGTTGGGTAGTGGATTCAAGATGTCAGCAGATCCGCAACCTTCAAGTTCTTGAAATCGAATCAGAATTCCCGCACTCTAAGTTTCAAAATACAAGCCAGGAGCCGCGACTCGCCCCAACGCCCCCAAAAGCCCTCCAAAAGGTATCGGCCCGCCGAGGCGGGGAATCGGAGCCAAGCCAGGATCAGATTGGCCGCGCTTTTGATTTTTAGGGTTTTGTGGTTGAAAGGTTGAAAGGTGCTTCTCTTGACAGGGTGTGCCTGGCTTTCTGCGCATCGGGGGTGCTGTTTCAGTAGAGGCGCCGTGCCATGAGATGCTCCCGGTGAAGGGTTCTGTGCTGTAAGCAACTGCATAGCGTGGTTACCACCGGTTCCGAGGGATTTTACCAACCGTACTGCAGTTAACCCGAAGCTTCCGGCCACATTGGCGACGACATCCTAAAACCCTACGAACAGTAAGACGTAACACCCCTCCCCCCCTCCACACTTTGAAGGGGTGCGTGTTGGTTATAGGAGGCTGTGAACCTAATGGCAGCAGGTCTGCGTGGCATCATGTTTTGATGGTGCCGCCGAACGTCAGGCACTACCCGGGACCCTATTTTTTGGACAATGTTTGGCTTCGGTCTTACGTATGGCTCTGGGGGTTCTGTAGGGGTGGTCTGGAGATCGCATGCTACTACAAGCCCAGTAGGTAAGAAGATGTAAAAAGGTGATTTCTTTGTTGGCCTGCTCCCAGACGAGTCCAAGGTGAATCGTGAATTGTTTGTCGATTTCGGGCGCCTTCCCTTGTGATTCGGGACATTCCTCTGAAGAGAGGAGGCGCTCGACTGTTGCGGTTATAGGGGGGCCTTTAAAGAGCTCTTTTTTCTGTGCGTTTCCCCAGGCCTTCCTGTACCGAGCGCTGCAGCTGCGGAACTCCGAGCAGGTCCTGGCTCGGCTCTCCGAGGTGCCCCCTACTGGCAACTACTTAGCAATTCCTAGGTAGCACGGGTAGCAAGCTCTTTAGGGCTTTGTCTTATTTGGAGTTTCGGGGCTCAAATGGCCTCGAGGGGCTCGAGGGAAGCATTCTTGTTCCCGGCAGTTAGACTCAAAATTCCGGGACTTGGCTAACTTCGGGCTCAGGACGTGTTGCTAAGGTGACAGGCTGAATGTCTGCTGGGGCTTGTGGGTTTGGGGTTTGGGCTGGTCCAGGGTCCCGAGACTGCCCGATGTCAGGGTTTGAGGGCTTTGGCTGAATCTTCAAGGGGGAAGGGGTGCCAACAAGACCACACGCTTTCCTGCCCGTGAAAGATGCAAAGTTCAAGTTTCAGTTTCCAGCTCGGCGCAGCTTGTTCCAGCTGTTTGCCTGATGTGGATTTGAGTGGCTCGGTGTTGCTGAAGTCATATTCAGATTGTCTGGAGTCCTTTTGGAAGTTTTCAGGACTTCGCCGCTTCGGAGGAGCTGATGAAGTCTGCCCTGGTGGTGCCTTGGGCTTTCTTGAGCAGTCTGGCATGTGCCGCAGGCCACCACGCACGAAGTTCAAGTTGCCTTGCAAATCCGTTTTCTTCTCCAGGTTGCCATGAGCGGGCTGGTGGCGCCCTTCACCAGCAAAGGGCCATATCCTCGGACCCGCACGGAGGGTTTAGATACACAAGCTCCTAAATCTATGCGACATCACCAAACAGGTCCTCCATCACGGTCGACACGGACCATGAGTATCATCCAAACGAGGCTGGGGGATTCAACATCGCCTCACCCGCCGTTGGAGTCTTGAACAGCAGCTTGCGCACCTGTGGGTGGCCCCAGCAATGCAGGGAAGATGTTGCGATGGTGCAGGCGTGACTTTGCGATTGATCTCGGCCTGGCCCAATGCAGCTCCCGGAGACGGGGCCGACGTTGGGGCGGGGGGGAAGGTGGGAGGGGTGGGCGGGCTGCAACGCCCCGACGCAGGAGTCAACGTTCTATAGCGGGAGCCCAGCTGGCCCCCGGTCCCGGCAAACCGTCCGCTTTCAGATACGGGGGGTACCCATTCCAGGCAACAAAAGAGGGCGGACATGTGGCTGGGCTTGGGGAGGATTGGGAGGGGGGTGCCTGTTCTCACAACCTAGACACCTTCGGCCCGAGGCCTCGGCGGATTTTGAAGTTCAGGACAGACCAACTTGCTCCCACCAAGACTTAAACCTCCAAAGAGTCCTCCACCCCTTCAAGACATGAAGCTTAAGTAAGCTTAAAGCCCTTGACTGCTCTGACATGCTCTGACAGGACTGGGAGTTCTGCTTGCGACTTCCCGGCGCTTCTAGGATTCGCTTTGGGGAATCTGAGTTTGAATAGTGCTCACAGCTGAGAGTTGTTAGGCATGTGTAAGAGGTGTTTGCAATGGCAGGAATTGCAGGATGAGTTGCAGAGGGATTCCTTTGGAAAATGGTGTTCCTCTGTGCCCCGAGTTCCGAGTTGGTGCGGCAGGAAGAGCATGGCAAGAAGGCCTAAGCCTTCGTGGAAGAAATACACGATCTCTTCATGCGCACACGGGTTTAGACATGACTTGGCTGCAAGGGCTTCTGGCCGACAGGACCATGAGCCATGAGCCACTTTGGAGTTCGGCCCCCCTTGCAGGATGACCCTGAAGTTCGATTCGCGCAGCCGGACCGAGGCAATTTGCGGACGAGCAGTGTGGGGTTTAGTAGGGCTATTGGGTTGAGGGTCGCTTTGGGCTCCAAAAGTGTGACTTTCGAGCCCTCCGGAGGTATCGTGGGAAATGTAGGGGTCCGCGCGTGCTTGTGGAAGCCCGGCAGCTTGGGAGATTGAGAACTGTTGAGAGCTGTTGGGAGTTGCGGCTGTTGCGCACAAATTGAAGGATTTAACGGTTTACCGGGTTACCCATATTGCTAATCATAGTACCCACACCCTCGCAAGCAAGGCGGGGCGCGACTTCGTTCAGTTCTTTGCCCATCGAGACCCGGAGACTGGCGAGCTGTCGAAGCGCGACTTGGCTTGAAGAGAGATCTCACCCAAGCGACTTTGGAAAGGATGTGTATGTCAACAACAACCGCGGGGTCTTGACGCTTCTGCTCTGTGGTTTCAGCTTTGGGTAAAAAACATACATAAATACCATATATATATGAGCCCGCCGCCTTTAGGGTCTATTTAGCTTTGGGTTTTTCTTATTGCTTAAAAAGAGCGAATATAAATATCGTAATACAAAAATACATATTTACACCTACATATGGCACGCAAATCTCATGCCCAGCGGTTCTAGGCCTAGCCGCACGCCATTACGAACTGCGAATTTCTGGTTGTTCTTATTTTCATTTGTTTCTCTTTGCTATCTGTGTATGCGTGTTCTTTTTTCAGCCTGCGTGAAAAAGTCGCTGTTTGGCTGCGGCAGAAGGGAAAGAGAAGTGAGAGAGGAGAGACAACAAGGAGGCCATTTTAATTTTCTGGAAGGGTATTGATTGAAAAGAAAAGAAGAGACAAGAAACAAGGAGGCGGATGGCACTCTTCTTTATCTATCATCTCTCCCTTCCTTGCCTCTCCCGTTTCCCTCTATAATTCAAAAGACAAGACCATTCTTGCTCTTCGCAGATCAGAGGAGAGATCAAAAGGAATGCAATTTTAATGGGAAGAGCAATGAAAAGAATGGAAGAGAAATGAAGACAGGAGAGGGAGGTGCAAAATCAGGCTAAGAGAAGATGGTGCTCGTTTTCATCTTTCTTCTCTTGCTCTTTTCCTTTTCAAATAAACAACAAAAGGAAGAACAATGAACATGCAAAGGAACCCGTTTTCTTTTTCCATGTGGGAACAAGGAAAGAACAGAGGCGATAAGGCGAGAGGAGGGATTTGCTGAAGCATGGGGAGGGTCTACGGACAAGGAGCCAACCCCGCTCACTTTCCCCATCCATTGAAACAGGAAAAGAAAGGAACAGGGCCTCCATTCCCCTCTTGTTCTTCCTTTCTTGTGTTTTTGTCACATCAAGGGGAACAGGAGAAGAGAAGGGAGAGAGAAGGAGAGAGGAGAGACAAAAAGGATTGCATTTGTACTGGGAAGAGCAAAGAAAAGAATAGAAGAGAGATGAATAAAGGAGAGGGAGAGACAAAATAAGGCGCAGAGAAGATGGCACTCTTCTTTATCTATCCTCTCCCCCTTATCTCTCCCTGCCCTCTTTCTTTTCGAAATAAGAAAACAAAAAGGAAGAACTATGAGAAGGAGAAGGGGACGGAAAGGAACAGAAGGGATAGGCCGATAGGAGGGGGTATGGCAAGGTCCACGCGCAAGGAGTCACCCTCTGCTTACCCTTCCACTGCCTTATCATACAAGTTCCTTTCTTGCGCTGTATCAGTTGAAAGGAAACAGAAGGAGAGAAGGGAAAGGGAAGTGAGAGAGGAGAGATGACAAGGATGGCATTTTTCTGGAAGCGCAACTGTACCGGAATGTGGCCACAATAAGCAGGCCAGGGAGACTCAGGCGGGGCAACTGTAGCGGAATGTGGCCACAACAAGCAGGCCAGGGAGGCTCAGGCGGGGCAAGTCTCTCCCTAATTAGAAAAAAACCAATCTTGCTCTTCGCAAATAGATAAGTGCCCTTCTTCCTCTTCAGGAAATCGCCTTTCCCTTATTTTGCTTTCTGAAGCGAATAAGAAAAAGAACAGATAAGAAGAGAGGACAGGGAATGACTAGGTAAAGAGAGGAGCTCTTCAATTTTGCATTACTTTTCCTTCTTGGGGGGTCCTTTTTTCTCCCTTGAAGATGCAGGAACTCTCAAAAGGAACACCCGTTCCATCGCCCATTTACTCTTCCCTTCCTTATCTCCTATGCTTTTTTCCTTAGTCATTGCAACAGGAGAAGACAGGAAAAGGGCCTCCATTCCCCTCTTGTTCTTCCTTTCTTGTGTTTTTGTCATATAAAGGGGAACAGGAGAAGAGAAGGGAAAGAGAAGGAGAGAGGAGCGATGAAAGGAACACAATTTTAATGGGAAGAGCCAAGAAAAGAATGGAAGAGAGATGAATAAAGGAGAAGGAGAGACAAAACAAGTTGCAAAGAAGATGGCGCTCTTCTTAATCCATCCCCTCTCCCTTTTCTCTCCCTTCCCTTTTTCTTTTCGAAATAAGAAAAACTAAGCAGGAAGAATTATGAAAAGGAGAAGGGTAAGGAAAAGAGCAGAAGAGATAGGCCGAAAAGAGTGATATGATGAAGTATGGCAAGGTCCACACGCAAGGAGTCACCCTCTGCTTACCCTCCCACTGCCCTTATCATACAAGTTCCCTTCTTGTGGTTTATCAGCTAAACGGAAACAGAAGGAGAGAAGGGAAAGAGAAGTGAGAGAGGAGAGACAACAAGGATGCCATTTTAATTTTCTGGAAGGGTATTGAAAAGAAGAGAAAAGACAAGAAACAAGGGGACGGATGGCACTCTTCTGTATCTATCATCCTTGTCTTTCCCTTTTCCCTCTATAATTAAAAAACAGGCGCCATCTCTCGTCTTCAGGAACCCGTTCACTTTTTCCGTTTGGGAACAAGGAAAAGAACAGAGGCGATAGGGCAAGAGGAAGAATTTGCTGCAGCATGGGGAGGGTCTACGGGCAAGTAGCCAACCCCGCTCACTTGCCCCATCCATTGTGAAAAGAACAGGGCCTCCATTCCCCTCTTGTTCTTCCTTTCTTGCGTTTTTGTCATTTAAGGGGGAACAGCAGAAGAGAAGGGAAAGAGAAGGAGAGAGGAGCGATGAAAGGAACACAATTTTAATGGGAAGAGCCAAGAAAAGAATAGAAGAGAGATGAATAAAGGAGAGGGAGAGACAAAACAAGGCGCAAAGAAGATGGCACTCTTCTTTATCTATCCTCTCTCCCTTATCTCTGCAAGGAATAGAACAGACAGGAAGCAAGGAGACGGAGTGACAAAACTTGTCGCAAAGCTTTATATATCTCCCTTGTCTCTCCCTAATTAGAAAAAACCAATCTTGCTATTCACAGATAGATAGGTGCCCTTCTTCCTCTTCAGGAAATCGCCTTTCCCTTATTTTGCTTGTTGAAGCGACTAAGAAGAACAACAGATAAGAAGAGAGGACAGGGAATGACTAGGTAAAGAGAGGAGCTCTTCAATTTTCCTCCCTATCTCTTATGTTACTTTTCCTCCTTGGGGGATGTCCTTTTTTCTCCCTTGAAGATGCAGAAAACTCTCAAAAGAAACGCCCGTTCCATCGCCCATTTACTCTTCAATTCCCTTCCTTATCTCCTATGCTCTTTTCCTTATTCATTGCAACAGGAGAAGACAGGAAAAGGGCCTCCATTCCCCTCTTGTTCTTCCTTTCTTGTGTGTTTGTCATATAAAGGGGAACAGGAGAAGAGAAGGGAAAGAGAAGGGGAGAGGAGCGATGAAAGGAACACAATTTTAATGGGAAGAGCCAAGAAAAGAATGGAAGAGAGATGAATAAAGGAGAAGGAGAGACAAAACAAGTTGCAAAGAAGATGGCGCTCTTCTTAATCCATCCCCTCTCCCTTATCTCTCCCTTCCCTTTTTCTTTTCGAAATAAGAAAAACTAAGCAGGAAGAATTATGAAAAGGAGAAGGGTAAGGAAAAGAGCAGAAGAGATAGGCCGAAAAGAGTGATATGATGAAGTATGGCAAGGTCCACACGCAAGGAGTCACCCTCTGCTTACCCTCCCACTGCCTTTATCATACAAGTTCCTTTATTGTGGTTTATCAGCTAAACGGAAACAGAAGGAGAGAAGGGAAAGAGAAGTGAGAGAGGAGAGACAACAAGGATGCCATTTTAATTTTCTGGAAGGGTATTGAAAAGAAGAGAAAAGACAAGAAACAAGGAGACGGATCGCACTCTTCTTTATCTATC